CTAGTTGATAAGATTGATTTGAATGAGACACAAATAAATGGTGATTTCACAAGATAAATAAGTGCTGATTTAAAAAATTGAAGTGTTTTTCTTTAAAGAAGTCGTATTACTGTGTTTTTGTTTTTGTTGTAGTTGTTAATTAATAATCATTAATCATCTTAGCAGTATTCCTAGTAACTCCTCAACTAATTTATTTTAATATCTCAAATATGAGTCTATAATTTATATTTTTCCGTTTTTTTCTTGTTTTTGTGTAGATTGCATGGAACGGAAACGGATACGTAGAAACGATTTTTAAAAAAAAAAATAGGAAACGAGTACGTTTTGGAAACGTATACACACATATATATATTTTTTTCAAAAGTTCGTGTTATGAATCAATAACATCAAAAATAATATTTAAAACAATTTGAACAATACAAATTATATAAATGAATATTAAATAGTTTAACAAAAGCGAAAAGTATAATAATTTTGTTATTTTAAACCTATATACAAACGGAATCTTTCATAATTTTTGTTGTTTTTAACCTATAAATATATCCCTACATTTCCAAACTATTTAATTATTACGTAAGAAACAATTTTTCATCGTATTTCCAAAACGAAATCAAACATTTCCGTCGTATTTCTAATTTGAGATCTCTAGAAAACGAGTTTCCATCGAATTTCCAAAATAAAATTTAATTTTCCATCGAGTTTCCAAATTAAAATTTATTAGAAAACGTGTTTCCATGGAATTTCCAAGAATTTCGGTTTCCGAAACGGAAAACACTTCTCGGACGGAGTTTCCATGCAACCTAATTGCTTATTACTCTCTCTTGTTTTTCCAATATTTTCCTTTTTTTTATCTATACTAATTTATCAATAGTAACATTGTATTATGACAACACTAAATTAGTTCAAAGACTACTAAATTAATGATGTAGTATTTGATATAATAGTGAAAACTTATGGCAAGCACCATAAATAGATATTCAGTTGGTAAATTCGAGTAATTGGCCATGGTACTGTGTCTAATCTTAGGCTCCATATAACCCATACATATTTCTTTTTTACCACACTTAATTACACTCATAACTCTAAGACTCGCACACTTGACATTACGGCTCGTTAACATCCTGGAGCTCGATATCTTGATCGATCGGATAAGGATGGATCATCTTCTGTCACCCCTATTGCACAAACAAAGAATCCCGACTGTTATCAGGAAAGGAATGTGAGATTATGAGATTATGAGGAGTATAGGATGAAGAAAAACAATGATGATGATGACGAATAGAGAATAAAGTATTGTGGAGAAGATTGTGTTGTCCTAGATTAAAGAACAATGGAGACATACAAAAGTTTATATAGATTACAAAGATAACCTAGAGACTTAGGGTTTCTCCTAAAACGGACCCATTTAATGTTTTTGTATCTTGATGGGCTTCAAACCTTTTTATTCTTCTTCTTTTCAACACTCCCCCTCAAGCTTAGCCAGAGAATAGAAGATATGACTAACCTTGGTACCACTTTTCTTCCTCAGGCAAGAGTTCTGCATCACCTTTAGCCTCGATCTCTTCGGTAGAATACTTCTGCTTGACGACATGGTTCCATAAACCACATYCRYGTAGATAGGTTMTRASAGTACRAGTCCATAGGAGAWAGTTTATCCCTTTGAGGATAACGAGCTTCTGCTTGGAATCTTCCTTAGTCTCCATTGAACAATTTCGGATAGGGCAGAGACAAGATTAGGGTTTTATCGAATAGAAAAGAGAAACGAGATTTAAGAGATTAGGATTTTGCGGAAAACGAGATTAGGAGCTTAAAGCTCTGATACCATGTGAGATTATGAGATTATGAGGAGTATAGGATGAAGAAAAACAATGATGATGATGACGAAGAGAGAATAAAGTATTGTGGAGAAGATTGTGTTGTCCTAGATTAAAGAACAATGGAGACATACAAGAGTTTATATAGATTACAAAGATAACCTAAAGACTTAGGGTTTCTCCTAAAACGGATCCATTTAATGTCTTTGTATCTTGATGGGCTTCAAGCCTTTTTATGCTTCTTCTTTTCAACAAGGAAGAGCACACAGACGAAAGGAAGTGCAATCATGAGCCATATCAAAGAAATTTCAATTTTCGGCTCAAACAAATTAGTCATTGTAGCTAGAACAAGCAAGAGATAGAGAGAATTTGTATTTTGTTTTTGAGAGCGAATGGTCAATGTATATAAACACGTGGTTATATAAGCACTACAATAAACAAATTGTTTTCTCGTTCATTAATGTATGTATAGCTAAAAAATAAATGGTTTGCATAACGTATCTGACAACGAGTTTGAACTTTTAAACTATAAACACTACAAGAAAACATCTTCCTCAAAAAAAAGAAATCTCATACGAAAATTGATAATCTACTTTTTGAGATTAATACGTTAGTTTCACATTATAGGAAATCGACTCTTTTTTTGTTCTACGAAATATTTGACGGATTCGTTAACAAAATAAGCTTTTGTTGCTATTAATATGTCGACTTAAATAATAAAAATGGTAAGAATATACTTGAATATGAGTGCATTATACAACCTGTAGGGGAGGTATGGGCGATTCGGGAATCTCTCTTCCAAGCGATTGATAGAGACCTTAAAGACTTTTTGTGTGCACTCAGATTTTTCTAACACTTGTTAATTCTCAATTCTTAAGATATTTACACAGAGATTCATGCTAGTAGTATTGATAATCTTTGATTTGTAATTCGTTCGGCCAACTCTTTGGCGGACTTGCTTAATAAACAAGTATTACACGCTTTGTTGATTTCTTTGAGTTATGAAATAAAACTACAGTTCCGACAAAAAAAAAAATATAACTTGTAAAAAAGTTAAGAAAGTCAAGGTAGGTAATATTATGTACAGTATATAACACATTTTAGAAAACCAAAAAAAATTACATCATTTTCTAACTACGTCATTATAATTTGATTATAATATGATTTTCTAAAACCCGAAATTCAGATTTGAGAGAAAACGTTGAAGAAAAAACAATAAAAATTACATCATTTTCTAACGGTTATCAAAAGTGGTGGTCAGAAGAAGAAACCGGTTTCTCAAAGGCTAATATTATATCCCCTTACAATTAAAAGGGAATTACTATTATTTAATTATCTTAGGTGTTTTCATTTGATTGGTTTAAAATTATGACATGTCTTGAAAAAATGATGACATGGCTTAAAGTACTTAAATATATAGTTTTCTT